AAAAAAATCTAATATTCAGAATTCATGCAGAGCGATAATCATGATCTCTGCAACACTGGGAAAAAAAGTGCCATCAGCTGCTACATATTGAATATATTTTACTGGTATCTTTTTTGTACTTTTTTCACATTAACTCTGGCCTAACATCAGGGGAGCTATCAGCTTTCATAGTTTCAATCCAGCCATAAGAACTAATAAAAGAGGTCCAAATGGAGCACATCACAGTGAGATGCCGGTTTTAACAACACATGCATAAAAGCTTTAATTAGCATCATTACCAACCCATCTCACATGTGTAATAATGTCAGCCAGCCTTTCATCCCACTGCCACTGCATTTCTTTCCATTTTTCATCATGTTCCCCAACTCTTGCTTTAAGTGCATTTCTCTACTTTATAATGCACCTTTTTCTCCTGAGATTGTTCATCTTCTCACCTCAAGCCATTTTCACTGTTTTACACAGCCTATTCTCACCTCCTCTTCAACTGCATTTCCGACATTACTATTGCACAACAGTCTTTGCTTCTGGTGTATTTGTCTTTGCATTCTCCTCTCTTCTGCGGCTTTCTTTCCCCTCTTTGTTCTCTCTCCTCTTACTGTTACCAGGCTGATTGCAGCAGTGCACTTCCCAGCCTTTGTCAACTTGATCAGGGTGTCGGCGACACTGTGGGGTAAATGGTGTGAGAGGGTCTTACATGGGCTCAGTGACTGAGTGAGCTCACAGCACACAAAAGGGCCGTAATCCCATGCGTTAAAGACTACTACTGACATGGGCCATTTAACCTCACCCCTTCTAAACTCCTTGCTCCATCTTCCCCCACAACCTTTTCTTTACCACATCTCTATCTATGGGAGGGAGGGAGGGTTGGGATGCCTGCGATTTTAGACAACAGCTGAATAAGGGTATGCAGTGTCATTAGCGTCAAACTCAGAGCTTTTGTTAACGTGGCTTGCACAAATATTTTATAAAATGCAGTATTTCCACTTAAAAATCTCGAAAATGTGCAGAATGTAAGTGCAATCCACTGAATTTACAGTCGCTCTATGCTTCTGGTATTTTGCAAACAAATCCCTTTTTCAAATAAGCATGCTGTACACAGTCAGGCATGCAGACTGGAGCTGACTGTGATACAGTAGAGGGTCTTCTTTGATCACCGAAGGCTTCACTATCTACACGCACATGTGTGTAGGAGAGACTTCCTCACCACTGGCTGAGAGAAGAGGGTTAGCAGGCAGACAGGGAGGAGGAAAAAAACTCAACAACAAGGACTCAAAACCCAACCGTCTCCATCACAAGGGACGCTATTAAGCCTTCAATATCTGCCTCTAAGAACAATTCAGCCTGCTCTTCCTGTTAACTAAGATTTTGTCTCCCCAATACTAGCAAATGAATGAATTATTAATGATTCTGGTTTGTTTGTTACCTTCAGCTGAGGCAGACACTGGATTTGGATTTCCTGATTTATTTTTTAAAAAAAAATTTAAGTCATGGTGGCAAATAATGTGGTTTACAGGGCACTCGGTCACACGGATAATGCAATATTGATAGTGTTACAAGGGTCAGGGACAATCATGATGAATCATATTACCATGGTCCCAGAACATTAAAATGAAATGGTGTTTCTGTTCAGTTGCCCATGTAAAAACCGCTGCAGGGGTCGACAGCTCATCTTAAATATGCAACGCTTGGCTTTACAGGAAAATGCCATTAGATTACAGTGAATTCTCCTTACTTCAGTATAGGAGGAAAAAAGGGTTTTCGATGCTATATATGGTAACGTCTTTTGTGCAAAGTATGCAATCTAATATCTGAATAAAATGAGTCCAATGATACTGTTTAAAAATGCCATTACTCTCTTCTAACTGACGATTTTAATATTTACCTATGTAAATGAACACATCGTGCTCTGTGTGCCGTTAGGTTTA